TTCTAAAGTGATCTTTCTGACATAGTAATATTTGGTTGTAGTATACCGTACTTTCTGTGTTGTTCATCAAAAAATAAGGACCATCCTTTTTGTTGATGATGATGTTGACTCTTACACCCTTTCTGTTTTATGAAGAAAACACACAGTAAAGTATAAGTTGTATTCATGTCTGATTGTGGGCCTACCGTGGTGTCTAAAAGGGAAACCTTACTAGCTTAGGCTCAGGGCCTATCTACGTAGTTATCAGATGTAGCCTGGAGCAGGAGGTCTAACTTCTGTCCAGATACAAAACAGGGGATACTAATTGTTAGCTTCGTAGCATTATAATGATGGCATTGTTTGGTCCATGGGGCCTTGCTGTGTAGCTGCAGCTCTTCAGGATAGCAGCCATGTAGCCCAGGCTGGCCTCGAATTCAGAGATCCGCCTGCCTCTGCCTCCAGAGTGCTGGGATTAAAGGTGTGCGCCACCTGGCTTTGCCTGATACAGGGCTGATAAAAGTGTCATTTTACAATTACAGTTACAATAAAATGCTTTCACTGATTGAGAAGAACAGGCTTTGTAACTTGGCATTAAAATTTCAATGAAGAGTGAGTGAGCAGTGAGTGATAGCATTGTAGAGGCAGCAGCTTGGAGAAAGGCCCTGGGGGAGAAGAATTTGAGTAACTGAAGCTATTTCAGTAGTTTAATGGCGGGAGGGAGGAGTTTGTGAAGAGAGGTCAGGGAGATGAATTACATAGGGCCGGCCTTTAAGCTTATTTATCTGGGCAGGTGGTTGAAGAAGTTTGATCAGCAGATCTAGGAACATAAACTGTCATTGAAAGAAATGGCTTGGATGATGGAAAGTGGATTTGAGGAGAGTGCAGACCAGGTTGGTAAATACCTATTTGGATGCTATTGGAGTGCATGTGCTAGTCAGTGACAGTGGAGATAAGGTGCTGTTGGAGATGTGGGTAACTCCAGTGAGCATTCAGAGCTTGACTAGCTTGGCCTGGTTGTTGAGATCAACAGTCAAGTGTGAGACTTGCACCAACCTAGAGGTTTGGACGGCGTCCCTGTATGAACTCTGCCCTGTTCGTCTAGCATCGAAGGCCTGCTTTCCTGACTCTCCCTCCAGCCGCTGTGCTGGGGGCTGCAGAGAAAGGGGTGGTTGGGCCTGGGGTTTGGGGCTTTGCGGGGGGTGGGGTGGGGTGGGGTGTTGTTTTTGAGACAAACTTATGTAGCCAAAGTTGACCTTGATGAATTCCAGAACTTGCTCCTTCTACCTCCCAGTGCTGGCCTTAGGTTTGCCTCCACACCTGGATGTATTGAGTTTCCTTGTTCCAGGTTGTTCTCTCATGGTTGAGCCTTTCTTTCATATGTGTGTTTTGATTGGTCCAGATTGGTTCTTCTCCCACGTTTGTTTGTTTCATCGAGGGTTTGTCCAAACATTGCACTCACTCTCCCTTAGACAGGTAAAGTGATCTTGTATTTGAATTTGCGAATTTATTCCCAAATTTGTCTTTAATTCGATTGTCAGCATGTTCAAGACTAGAGCTTTTATTCAAGCTTTGTCTTCATTCGGCGCAACTTTTCTCAGGAGTCCTGTAGTGAAGTTTAGAACATAAACTCAGGTGTGTGTAAGAAGGAACAAAGGCAGGGTCAGGAAAGCAGCGCTTGCTGGGTGTATGGAGCAAGTGGGAAAGAACCCGAGTTAGCACATCAGCTTGAATTCTGTCTGTTGATTGACAGACGGACACTTGGACACTCGGGGAGTGGAAATTCTTGGCAGCACTTTAAATGTGCTGCTACGATTTGAGAAAAGTTATAAAATCATTGTGTATTTGTTACCAGGAAAGGACCTCTTTCATGGAAAGGAGTTTTCAGGGATCGGCCCTGTGCCCAGTCCAGCAATTGCTAGCCAGCATTCGAGGTCTTAGAGAAGGTTGGTTTGCCTCTGCGGATCTGGACGAAGGGCTCGCTGTTCTTTGTCTGTCTGTTCTCCTGCCCTTGCCTGTTCTGTAAAAAGCCTTATGCATGGTTGTTTTCTAGTTAAATTTGTGAAGTACTCTAGTTCTATTTCCCTGATCATTTAAAAAACTGAAATCCTTGCCCCCTGTTTCTCCGTCACAGCCCTCAGACGTCTCTGAAATGGTTGGTTAGATTATCTAAACTTGAGAGTTTTGAAAATTCAGACTTAGTGACCGTGGCTTTGAATCTTTGAATCGGTGTAGTTAAATGTCCAGGATATGGCAGGAATTTGTGTTGGGTAGCATGCCTTCATGTTGGGTAGCATGCCTTCATGAGTCATAGAGTAGTACAGTGAGGAATTCAAGCCGGCTTAGCACTTCCATTTTGTCCCAACGTAATTTCCTGTGCTACTTTGTAAGAATTCTTTTTGAAGAATGAGATTGGTAGAGAAGATTTAGTATAAGATAACTTACCTGTGTGCTTTAAAAAATATGTAGTTTTTTGTGGAGACAAAGGAATGATGAAAAGGTTATAATTAAATGTTTCCCCATGAGGAATACTCCTTTTGATATATAACATTATTCCTAGAGGAATGTTTGTGCTTCTTGTTCTTATAATCTGGTATGAGAATCAAGAAGAGTCAGTCAGTTCACAACACAAGACCCTGATCAAAGAATGTAACAATCCTTGTTTCTGATCTAAAGAGGAAATGTTACTTAACATTTTGAACTATTTTTGTAAATTATTTACAAAATTGACTTTCATTTTTAGGAGGTAGCCAGGAATTTCATTATCCTGCTGACAGATGCACTTTCTCGTGGATAGATTGTGACTTCTAGATTCCTTTGATTCTTTGCAGGAAAAGAGTGTAAATCCTTTCTATTGAACGCCACACCCCCCCACCCATCCGTATCTGCTGTTGGTCAGCGGTCCTTTATCCAGCCGCTTTACTCGGCAAGCACATGTGCTGCCCCTGTAGCCTTGAACCACCACCCTTTATCGCCACCTCCCAACTCCTTTTCCTGCTCCTGGCCTTCCGTAGACCAGTTTTTCACGGTGTAACTTAGGATCACTTAAAAACATATGTGGGAAATATATTCACTCTTTGAACTCCCCCAAATATCACTAGCTCTTGATTTTTTTTTCATCTCCCATGGATAAAACCCAGAGGCCAGCACACTCACAAAGTTCTTTTTGATATATAGCCCTTGGCGATGTCCTCACCTCCCTTCTACACTCAGCACTGAATGCAGTCCGGGATAAATCCGTCACCCCACTGAGGGGTGTCTCTTCCACAGCTGCTGCCCTGGTACTGCTTGTATTTTCCTTCCGTGTTTTCTGACCATTTTTACTCTCCCTGCTCATTCTAAAACATCGCCCTGTCCTGGTCCCTCAGGAAGCATAGAACCAAGGCCCAGTCTTTAAAATGAGTCTAGCTTTAAGGAGAAGTAATAACATCTCTCTCCCTTTCTACTTTGCCGTGGATCAGAAGTGTGTTGTCCCTGTACCTACGGCTGTCAGGGTTCACCTTTGGGGAGCAGTGACCGTTGTTATTTGGTTGTGATTTGGTTGTTATTAGAGATGTGTCAGGATGGTTAGCAGTCTCATGGATGTGTAATTTCCCCGCCTCTTCCCTTCTTGCCCCACTTTTCTCCCTCCATGCTCGACCCCCACACCCAGTGAGAAAAGACAGTAGAGGATAAGCATTTTCGTGTTTTATCAGAGGATTTCATTTACATGGTATTAAACAAGGTAATTTATTCTATATATTTAATTTCAGTTTTGGGATTTTAGGAATCTAGAATTGGTTTCAATGATAATATTATGTAAATATTTTCAAAGAAAAGTTTACTTTGTATCATTTTGAGTTCATTCATGTGTGTAAATTTAACAGAGGATGCCTGGATATTCAACTGTGTGTGGTACATACTTTTATCCATGTTTATTCTTAGAATTAGAGTTCATTAGCAAAGGTCCTATAAAGAAAATTAGTTGTATTCTTAATGTTTGCAAAACAAATTAAAATCTCAAATGTACTGGACCTAAATTTTTTGTAACTGTTCATTTTTTGAAAGTAAGCCCAGGAAAGGATTATTTTTTTGCCCCTGTATTATAGAGTACTTAGAAAGGACTTAGGAGCTTGGTGGGTAGACATGTGTGGTCCTTCACTAAGATTATTTAGCTCTTGTTTGAAGAGAATAACTTTAGCTATAATGAGTGAGTAAGACATTAAACTTGATTTGAGTATACTTAGAAAAATGTAGTTATGTTATTCAAGTCTCTATAAATCTCTGATGTCATTGGCATTTCGGTTTACTCTAAACTCAGAATATTGGCAGGAGCAAGAAGACAAAATGGCCTTAAATGACTCATTGACCAGACTAAGTGACACCTTCTCATAATCCCATAGCTTTTTGGGCATGCAAGGCCAGTGTGGGAGGAAGAGCCTATTTAAAAACAAAACAGAAACGAAAGACTTCATGTTGGCCAGCTGACAATTTGGAAACTTAAAAATTAGCATAGCTTTTACTAGTTTTAGTGTAAGGGTATAATTGTTAATGTTTTTTATAAAACCTTTAGAAGCAAAAGAATAAGCAGTAGATAAAATATCACAAATTTATACTGACATGATTAAGTTTATCCTGTTATATATGTAGATAGTTGTGACTTGATATAAAATTCCAGGATATCTTCATACTCCTAAGTAGTTTTAGAAGTAGATATATATTGACAGATGCTGATGTTTGCAATGTATGTAAAGATTTAAAACTTAAAAAGAAAACTGTTTTTGGAAAATTTCTATTTAGAGCTATGATTTTTTGAGAAAAAGTGATTTAGTTCTATAAAAGTTAGAATTGTTTTCTTCTTGTTTTTTAGGACCTGGGCAGGAAATGATACTATACAGTCAGATTTATATCTTTATCACAGGTCCCGCCGCTCTTAGTTAATCTGTTTCGGGATCCTAGCAGTATTCATTTTGTTTCCATAGGGGTAAAGTAAAGCCGGACTTTTCCAAAATACTATTCTTGATAAAAGTAATGTTTTTGTTTAGGTGACAAACAGCATGTTTGGTGCTTCAAGAAAGAAGTTTGTAGAGGGGGTGGACAGCGACTACCATGATGAAAACATGTACTACAGCCAGTCTTCTATGTTCCCACATCGGTCAGAGAAAGATGTAAGTTCGTCAGTTACACTGTGTTTCCTCAGCAGCACGTGTGCCTGTTTTTAGCTCCCTGACGAGGAGCATGTGAACTCCAGGGGATTGTCTGTGCTTTAGTGACTGTGCCCTGGGGACAGAAAGATAAAGCCCTACCTTGTAATGGGAAACATTAGTGTGCTGTGATGATTAAGCTGAGATTCGATAATGTTGTTACAGGACATTCTCGGAGACATGGCTTAAGGATGTTACTTTGAGGAGATCTGGGGGTTTTGTTTGATAGGAAGTATTTTTGTTATAATAGAGGAAGTACACATACAAAGGTAAGCAGGTTAGATGAGCACATTTGTACAGATTTTCTTTTTTTTTTTCCGAGACAGGGTTTCTCTGTGTAGCTTTGCGCCTTTCCTGGAACTCACTTGGTAGCCCAGGCTGGCCTTGAACTCACAGAGATCCGCCTGGCTCTGCCTCCCGAGTGCTGGGATTAAAGGCGTGCACCACCACCGCCTGGCGTTGTACAGATTTTAAGATCCATAAACTAGCAGGTTTCAATAAACTCTGTCCTTATTGTGTGATCCTCTCCTGGAATTCTAGCCCTCAAGTAAAGAAACCCTTCTCTCCCCAGCTACAGACACTACAGTTAAAAGTTTTTGCTACTGTGTGGATTATATAGTATAGAGATCTGTGCTTTGGAAGGCTAGTAGATCAGGAATCCCATTCCACATGAAGGGTAACACATTTATAGGCTATTTTAAAATAAGTTCATTCGTTCAGATCATTTTAATCTAGTTCCTGTATTGTACCTTTTAGCCAGACCAGTTATATTCTGACCCTGTGTGTCTGTTCAGCTTTTTTACTTTCAAGGCTTTATGAGTTTGCTACTTGCTAATTTCTTAGCAGTGCTCCCAGTTCTGTTTGGAGTACAGAACATGTAACAGGTGTCCTTATTTTTATTTAAAGCTGATTATTACCAGTTCACATCCAATTTTTAGAAGGTCACAAATTGGCTCAGTCTAGGTTCACATTAGGATTTAGGATTTGATTATCCAATATCCCCATTTCTCCATTATTTTTTTTTTGAACATTTTGTTGGTTTAGAAACAAGTTATCAATTTTCCCTCCAAGATACATGTGCACTTTATTGTTAGTGTCCTTTAATATCTTATGGAATAATGTCACTTGGTTTTCTGATGTTTCCTGACTGTCGAACTATTTGCTATTTCATGTGAATTATGTTGAATTACTATTTACACATGTCTGACTTACGTGTTGATTTTTGCAGATTAAAAATTAAGAATGTAGTTCAATTGTAAAGCAATTGCCTAGTGAGAGCAAAGCCTTGGATTCAGTCAGTAGTGTTGTGGGACATTTGGGTGTAATATTTGATAGTTTCATTGCAGAAACTGTACAACTATGACTGTGGATATGCAGTGAAAGCCGAATGTGGTAGGAAATGGGAATAAATATGGTGATGAAGGGTTTCCTTGAGAACATGTGAAGATTTAAATGGAAATCTGAAATTTGAAATTGAGCTTTTGTAGACAATGAATAACAAAGAAATCTCTGCCAGCTCGCAGTTAAGAGCATTGAGAGGACCTGCTCTACTCCTAGCCCTCGCAGGGCAGCTCACAACAGTCTTAACTCCTGTTCCAGGAAACCTAGGGCCTTTTGTCCTTCTTGGCACTGCATGCCTGTGGTGCACAGACATACATGCAGGCAAAACACCTATACCCATAAAAATACGTTTTTAAAAAACAAGAAATGTGTGTCCTCCAAGACTACGTAATTTTAAAATTGGAATTAGTATATCCATGTTACCCAGGGACTCACATATGCTAATTACTATTCCAATATAGCTATTGTCACAGAAGCAGCAGAATGTTTTTCTTCATGAAACTTTCAGTGTTAAATTAATAACTAATAAAATAGGCAAACAAAGAACTTGAACTCAAAAGCAGTGCAAATACGCTTGTGTCCTGCCTTTTAGCAAGAATGTCTCAAAGCCTTCACTTCCTCGCCTATGAAATGGTGGTAACAGTGCAGTGCGTACTGAAGATGACTACTTTACTTTTTTCTTATTGCAAACAGTACAGGCAGACTGTGTAAGCTTAAAGTATAGACATGTAGATCAGAACAACTCAAATCTTGTTAGGACTAATTCACTGCTAGGATTTCCAATTTTATACTTCAGACATCTCCATCACAATTCAATAGAATGATTTAAGTTTCTAAAAGCATGGTGACATCTTCCATCAGAATGTGTGTGAGAACTTTTAGTGTTGGTAGGGTTCTCCATGCCTTTAAGAATACTAGCTCATATGTCTTGGCAAATAGACCCAAGAAGTTGATTGTTTTGCTGTGGCAGAATGCCTCAGGAGAAGTGATGTAAGGAAGGGAGGTTTTATTTCGACTTACAGTTCAAGGGAATGGTTCTGTCATGACAGGGAGGGTTTATCAGCAGGAGCCAGTGGGTTGAGGGTAGAGGTTGGCAGCTGATCATAGCAATCTACAATCAGGAAGTAAGCAGAGTGAACAGGAAGTGGGACCTGGCCATAAAACCTCAAGGCTTGCTCCCAGTGACTCACTTCCTCTAGCAAGGCTCCCACACAGTGCCATCATTTGAGGACTAAGGGCTTACACAGTTGAGCATGTAGCAGACAATTCATTTCAGATCAAAACAATGTACATATATTAAAGTGTTTCTAAACATAAACACATAGACTTACACACACCGAGTGATGTGTCTTTCCCATATAGGTAGTGACCATTTGTAGTTTTTATATTACTTAATGTTTGTGCTTTTTCATAGTTCTCTGTTGATGTGGTCTTGAGCTCTTCTTTTACAAGTATTTCTTCAAAATTTCCTCTATGGTTTTTATATTACTGAGGTATTTATCGTCTTTATTAAAAATGATCCCTCAACGTTTTCTTTTTAAAAATAAGTAGTGCATAAAACATAAAAATTGTGTATATTAAGGGAATATCATATGATATTTTAATATGTCTACGTTGTATAATGATTAAATCAGGTTAATTTGTCTGCAAACAGTTCCATTATTGTGTGGCTTTTTGTTTGTTTTCATGTGAGCTGAGGATTGAACCCAGAGCCTTGCACATGGCAGACAAGTGCTCTACCACTGAGCCACATTCCCATCCCCAGGGATTTTTCTTTAAATGTTTTCTGGTTTTGGATTATTCTTAGAACAGTCTATAGGAGTTTCCTATTTTGTCTCAGAACTTGATTTACAACTTATGCCCATTAGGAACCTATTCTGGTTTAAGGTGGTAAATACCTTTTTTTTTTTTTTAAATCTCTGTGGTGCTATCCAGTATGTATAAGTACATCATGGGTCAGAGAACCTTTTTCTTGAAAAGCAAGGTAGTAACTTGGCTCTGTAGACTAAGAGGCAGAATGAAGGATGCTACATAACCATAATGTAAAAATCACTCTTAGTCATTTATCCTACAGAATAAGCAGGGTGCTGGATTTTGCTCATGAATGATAATTTGCTTATCTCTGAGTTTTAGAATATTTGCTAATATTTTGATTGAAATGGTCCCTTTAGTATATAAAAGTTTCCAATGCTCTCGAGCATGTTTTTCAAATCCCACTGAGTCTTTATCAAGACTCCAACAGTTTGACTCGCTTTGACTTGATGAGCATTTTACTGTCTTGGATAAAGTCTTCTCCCTCCCTTTTATGAGTGTGTGTGTCATTAGTGCACAACGGTACTAATTTCAATACCAGCAGTGACTTCCTTTCAGAAGGATGACTGGGGATGTAGTTCAGTGGCAGGATATTGCTTTGTTGGGGCTTTTGGGAGTGATTGGTGGTGGCAGGGGGTTGTTCCTGGCAGGAGGAGTGTATTCAGGTGTTTACTTGTGGAGGCCAGAGGTCAACCCGAATATTCTTCCCCGAGAGCCATCACCTTGCGTTTTGAGAAAGTGTCTCTCACTGGGACCTGGGCTGACAGATTAGGCAGGGCTGGCTGGCCAGCAAGCTTCAGGGAGCCTCCACCAGCACTGGGATTGGATTATAAGTGTTCCCACCATGCCCTGCTTTTCATGTACATGCTGGCACGGTTGTGCAGCAAGTCCCTTACCACCTATCTTCAGTAATAAAGAGGGCTTCCTCATTGACATTTTCCATGCAAGTTTAAATTGCTCTTCGCTGTTAGACATACTGTGAATTTGTTAATAACCACCTGCTTTCTATAAAGTGCTTTAATCACTTTGGTGACTGAATGTGAGCTGTAGAAAGCCTAATAAGAGTTTAAACTTCAGCTATGTGGTTTACAAGCTGTGTCCTAGGGCAGAGTAAGCCATCTGTATGCACCTCAGTTTCTCATCTGGAACATAGGAACAGTAGTATGTAGCCATTCCCATTCTCTGCTGAATTCTCTGGATTTCCAAACTCCAGACTATTGGGGCCATGGAAACAGCTCAGCTGGTTAAGGTGCCTGCTGCCCATAGGCCTGACGACCCGAGTTTGAGCACACATGGTGGACAGAGAGAACTGACCTCCCACAAATTGTCCTTAGACCCCCCCCCATCTGTGAGTTGTGGGGTATATGCAGCCACACACATGTACATATGCACACAAATTAAATAATAAAGATGAAAATGCATAGCATTTATTACTACCTGAAAGTACCTGGTTATTGTTTAATCCACTAGAATTTAAACTTAGCAGAGGCAAGGATTTCTCTCTCTAGTTAGAGCCTTGCTCTTAGAATCTGTAGTAGTTAGGAAATTATATGCTCTGTGTTCATTGAAGAGAAGGGTAGTAGATACTGTTGAAAATTACATTTATTGACAGATAGATTGTTAAAAATCTTTAAAAGCATCTTATAAACACTAATAGAGAATATGGTCTGGGTGTATACGTCAGGTTTTTTTCTTTCTTTGTTTTTAAAGTCAGGGGTCATTGTGTACCCCTGGCTGGCTTGGAACTCACTGTGTAAGTGTAAATAAAGCAGAGTATATTCAGAAGTAGTTGGAATTAAATGTCAGGTCATTTCTAGGATTTTAAAAAATTGATTAGCAGTTGCATTATCTCTAAACAGTATTTTAATGTTAAAATGTGAAATGGAGAGAAAATGATACATCTACAAAGCATCCAGTTTCAATATCTACAAAATAATTATAAAATGTTTAGTCATCAAATTAGCATAAGGATTAAGTATTTCTTAATCCAGAATACTCCAGACTAGAAGTACCTAAACCCAATACACCACCCATTTTTAAACTTTTACAAAAACATCATGACTGTGGCAATTTTTTCAGATTTTTCAGGTTTGGGGTTTGTTGTTTTCTTTTCTTTCTTTTTTTTTTTTTTTTTTTTTTTTTTTTTTTTTTTTTTTTGTGGAGAGGGATCTTGAATTTGGAATTTGAACTACTGAAAGATGGTTAACCTGTAGGAGTAAAGTTGGTGTGTGTGTCTGTGTGTACACGCACCCACATGTATGTGGTTTTCAGAGTATGTTTGAGGTTGAAAAACGGTGTTTAGAGAGATCATTTGAGTGACTGTGGAAGTGTCCTTGCTACAGACTTGGTACTAGTGCACATGAAGAGCCTTTTGAGTATAAACATTGCTAGAACCAGTCCTGTGTCTGTCAATAACTTTGCACTTTAGCGCTATCCAGGGATTCAGACACACACACACACACACATACACAGACACAGCATCCATTTTTTCTTTTTAATAAAAGCATTTTAATCTTAGGTGTGTATTATCGAGGATTCATTATGAGGAAAATTCATTATTTTACCATTTAAAAAAGTTATCTATGTAAACTTGTTTTACTGTATCTGACTCATACACTGTCAGGTTTTGTGATTTATTACCAGTTTTATTTTTGTGTCTCTACTTTCTCCTGTTCCCTTTCTCTTTTATTCTTTTTAGTAATATTACCTCTACCTAGTCTTCATTTCCTTTGCCTCTGTTTATTAGATTCCATTGATATCTTTTTTAAAACCACTAATGTTTAATTTTAAGTTTCTCTTTAAGTCTGTGTGTACACATACAGGAATCTGCATTCTTTGGTCTCTCATTCTTTATGTAGATAAGATAGGCAAAAGCTAGTAAGTTTTTTTCCCAAAATAAAGTAAGTAGAGGAATTATCACCATTCACTTAAGTAAATTAGAACAAACTTTAAAGGATAATTTTAAACTTCTTTTTGATATTTGTTAGAGAAATTTTATTTTAAAATTTTAATTCCATCACCAAACTATGTTAATGTTTCATAAGTTAGGTTTAATGATAGCAGATCTTTTTATTGGAGAGAGTAAGCACAAGAAGTCATCACCATTGGAAAATGGAAGACTTAATGCTATAGATTGTTACTGATCACAAATATCACTTGTATCCACTGTTAATGGAAATAACTGGAGATGTAGTTCTGGAGCTTCTTCTACCTTGGGAGATGGATGAAAGAGGATCTTGAGTCTGAGGCCAGCCTGGATTTCATAGTGCATCCTGTTTCAAACCAACAACCAAAGTTCTAATGTGTTGATATCTCTATTAGGAAAAAGTAAAGGGGCCATTTAACAACTTCAAATAAATAATTAAGGCCACATTATTATTTCTTTGGTTGCTTCTGTAGGTTTTTATTGTGTTGTTTGGCTTGAGTGTAGAGTCCTTGAGAGATGAAGATGTTGCATAGTAAAATTTTAAACTGGGAACGTGATAAGCTACTCAGTGGTTTCATTACTCTGCAGCTAGCATAACATTTCATCTTTTCTACCTTTTTCCCGCTCTGAGACTGTGATGCTGTGTCTTTCCACTTACACTGCGTTACACTCCGCTGAATCTGTTTCTGAGAAATTCGTTTTTTATGATGAACTTTTAGCACTTAAATACATAAGATTTTGTGGTCTTTTAATGGTAGTTGATGCTTTGCCAGGGTCCATTTTTAATTTTCACTAGGCTGTTATGTTCTTGAAACGCACTGTTTCATAATGTTAGCATTTTCAGATTGGAAAGTGATGCTGAATGCCACACGGTGGTGAGCCGTTTACCTCCCTTCTCTTTTTGGAGGGTCTCACAGCACCTCTGCCTGATTTTGTGTCCTTCTCACTGCCTTCGTCCTCCAGTGCTGGGCCCTGCACACATGTAATGTCCTTGTGTCTTTCTGGCCGGCCTCTGTGAGAAAGTACACTAGTGTCTGTCTGTTCTTCAGCATCGAGTGTTCAGAAAGTATACAGTTTTAGAAGAGTATCATTTTAAGGTGTCCATTTGAAGATATTCATGTTCATTGTAAGCCGTCTAGTTATATCGGCCAATATCTTTTATGTGAAACCTACAAAAGCAATTATATTCTCCATTTTATACTAATAATGGTAACAGTCATGATTCTTAACTTTTATATAGACTTTTTCTCACTAACTACAGGTTTATTAAAAAATTATACACCTCACTCAATTTTTCATGCAGCTTGGAAATGAACTTGTAATATGTATATAAAATATTTATAGTTAATATGGTAACAATAGTGAATATAGTCCCTAACAAAAGAATTTGATTGATCGTGTTTTAACCTATTTGATTGATTGTTAAAGGTTATATAGTTTAAAGTGCTAATTGTCTAGAATACACATCCTGGATGTAACAAAGAATATGTGTGTTTTACACTTATACACACACACACACACAGACACACACACACAGACACACACACATACTCGAGTTGATGCTTCTTTAGGAAATTAGTTCCATGGTAACTATTGATAATTTTAGAGTGGTGTGTATTCCACCCCTCTCTCTGCAGGGTCTGACGGGCACGTGCACCCTTGACTTAAAACAGCTATCATAAGTAGTTTGTGAACTTGAGAGTAAGGCAGCGTGTCCCTGAGTGCTCAAGCTTGCCTGCTCTGGAGTCACAGGACTCCCGTGTCCTCTGGCTCTCCTCTGGGCAGCCCCTTTTCTCTGTGCTCCAGCTCCACCGAGAGAGAGAGAAACGACTCCTGTAGCCAGAGTCCCTTGTTCGCAGTTCCTTGTTATTTCCACTCGGCCACCTCCCCACTTCCATCCGGTTCTTCAGTGATTTCCTTCCTAAAGCACCTGTTTTCTTCTTGCCATGTCCTTCATACTTTTCTTTTCTTGTTGTTACAGTAAGCAGCCATCTTGTCTGACATTAAAGAAGACCCTTTGGAGTCTTGCCTCAGCATTCTTTTATTCCGATTTTTGTATTCTTCCATAGGACTAAGCTGTATCTCCTTCCTAATCACTATTATAGTCACCACTGTTTCATGCTTTTTGATTATGACATTAACCTTACATTAACTGCATATTGTTGGCCTAAGAGATGCCTCTTATGTAGCTTCGTCAAAGCTTCCACCCTATAGAAATGGACTGATTTCCTCATCTGTGGACAGAGTGGTCTTTCCTCAGTGATGGCCTGCTTCTGTTGTAGAGTTTGCTACACCAGCTTGGAATGTAATCGCATCATTTTTTCTCTTTTCCCACTAGGTTATACACCTCTTGATGTTGTGGCCCATGTTGTGTTTAATTAAAATGTTTCGATGGTTGTATAAGGTGGAATATTGAAACACTGGCTTACATGTCCTCATTTATTCAGTTTAAATACCTGTTTTATAAATGGCACTCATGCATTTCTGTCTGTAAAGAAACAGTGTGTTCTGTGAATGTAACATGCCTTTAAATTTATATTCTGCCTGGTGATGGTAGAGCAGTAGAGCACGCCTTTAATCCCAGCACTTGGGAGGCAAAGACAGAAGGATCTCTGTGAGTTCGAGGCCAGCCTGAACTACAAAGCAGATACCAGGACACCCAGGACTGTTACACAGAGAAACCCTATCTCAAAGAAAAGAAAAAGAAAGAATTTATATTCTACCAGGAAAATATGACATTGTTTTACTAAATTCAAAGACATTGTACAGCAATACAATCAAGTCTGCATCACTCACTGAGAAACCATATAAATCAGATACCATGTCTTTGGTTTTGTTTGTATTTTTTACTTGTCTTTTGCTGATGTTTTCTCTTTACTTACATAGCTGTGTGATTATAAAAATCAAAAAATATTTTTACAAAGTACAAAACTGATAATAGGTTTTATTTAGGATTTGTCTTAATGTATAGTCTAAAATCAATGTCACATATACGTTTAAAAGCTTTGTGTTTTCATTAGTAGCCTAGTTTCTTTCTTTTTTTTAAAAAACGTAATAGTGTTGCTATACATGAGTGTAACTTAAAAAAACACCTCATAGCATTAATTATTTCTGTTTGCACAGTTTGGTTTTATCTGGGTATGGTAGTCTTTGTAAGACATGTGGGCCATGGGTTGAGTCTTTACATTGATATGAAGTATAGACTTGTAACTACAATGCTCTGTCTTCCTTATGCTCTAATATAATTAATTTGTTTCTAGATGCTGGCATCACCATCTACATCAGGTCAGCTGTCTCAGTTTGGGGCAAGTTTATACGGGCAACAAAGTAAGAATTTTGTACTTATTCTGGGATACTTTATATTTAAGGGAAAAAGTAAAGAACAGCCACTTCTGTTGTGGGTTTCCTATAGGGCTTAATAGAAGATAGTTAATTTTCAAAATTATATTTTCTTGTGTAGTAACCTCATTATGTTGGGCCTCACTAAATTTGTTATTTCTTAGATAATAGCATGTGTTGCAATTTACTTTGACATCATGTATATCTATATGTTCTTTTGCAGTGTCTGGAAAATTTTCTAAACAATTTAAAGCAGTAATTTTTGTGTTTTTAGTTAGAGAAAGTTAAAGATTTTTGCCTTTGGTTGGTTTGGTTTATTGTTTAATTTGTTTAGATTTGGGCCCGTTAACACTGTAAGCCCATTATTTAGCAACTGTTTATAAAATGATTTTCATTTAGTAGAAAGTATTAATTTACTTTGCTTTGGTTCTTCCTGATCATAACACCCAGATTTTTTCATTGTGTAACTTGTTTTTTTTAATCAAGTGCTATAATACTTTCCAAGCGCTTAGCACAGTGCCTGGCGCATAGTAAGCGCTCAATAAATGTTAGCCATTACCATCACATAAAATTGTATAAAACTCCAGATTATAAAATGTTTTGGGTTTTTTGTTTTTTTCAAATTAAATTTCCAAAATGTTACATTTTAATAAGATTTCATCATCTCTGTTAGTATAAAAATCTGCTTATTTCTCATTGCCGCTGTCACCGGGGGCTGGGATAGTGTTAGAAGTCACCATCAAACAGTGGAGGAGAGTGTCGGACCCTGTCTTCATCAGTTTCAAGTGGAAATGAGTCTGGTTTGGAGCTTTGATAAGTGTCAGGGGGTGTCACACCACTTCATCCTGGGCACCGGGTTCACAGTGGGGGGAGGGGGGAGGTGTTTTGTGTAGAACAGTATTGTTTCTATCTTTTTCTTTAGTTTTTAATCTTTTATGGTTTTCCTCTTTTGCTATGAGACAATTAGCTAATACAGAGTTAGTAAATACTAATTTCATGCTTAAGCAAGAACATATTTTAAAGCCTTTTATTAAAAGCGGAGTTCCTTTTTCATCTACAAATGTTTATCCTACTTCTTGAGGTAGTTATCATAGCTCGTAATGTGTTCTTGTTAGCGTATGTATGGTGTGGCTTTTCCCCTGTCGGGAAGCCTTCCTGTAGAAATGCCTAGCTGTTTAAAGCTCTCTTCTATTTCAGTACTGCAACTGCATAGGCATATTTGCTTTTTAAAGCCCACAGTTTATCACAGTAGAAAGAAGATATGATAAAAGATATGTTTGGGAAAGTCAGGTTATTTCATAATGGTGATTACAGCCATCTGTCTAGACTTCGGAGGTTTTTAACCTACAAATATGATATTGCTTTGGGGATGGACTTTGTTTGGAAGGTAGTAATGTCCTTGGCATGACAGATATATACTGACTCCAGCTTTCTTTAATTTGCTTTGTTTGGCGTGAAGGACGTGCAAAGGTTGATGATTGAGCAAATGTATTTTTTTTTTTTTAAAGAAAAAAAAATCTTACTAGTTTATAAAGAAGCCATGTATGACAAACAATTTTTGTTGAATTTAGATTTATAAAATGGCTATATTTAGTAAAGTTGGTGAAGCGGCATTTTGAATGCATGGCTTATCATTTTAAACTGATGTTTTAGAAAACAGTCTACCAAAAAATGAATACTGGGATAACTGTTTTAGCTCAGCGTGCAGTTCTTTTCCAGGGTACACATTTGGAATTTACAGTTAGTGACAAAAGGCAGCCTAGTTGCCAGTTCCTTTTGTGAGAGACCCAGAGGGCCAAACACATCATTTAAATAGTAGGTAGTCTGAATAAACACATTGTGAAAGAAGAGAACACAAGCTACATTGTGAGACTTGAGGGGTCATGGTTGACTTGTGTATGATAAAATGTGAGGAGCTGACTTTAGTGAAGGATAGAGAGAGAAAGAATTAAAGGACTGGATTAAGAGAAACTGTTTTTGTAGCATTTATTGTAATTACGCATTGAGACTGATAGAACTTAAAAGTTCTTTTCTCACCTCAGTCTGTTAAGTACTACCATTAACTCTGTATTTATATTTCACAAAGTTCCTTGGTGATTTATGCTATTCAAATGTAAGCTCTATCTGGGGTTTTTGTTTGTTCGTCTGTGTCTGTGGTTTGAGACAAAGTCTTATTACTATGCAGCCATTCTAGTCAGGAACTCAGATCCTCCTGCCTGTGCCTAACATGGACTGAGTCTAGGCCTTGCACATGCTAGGCAAGCACTTTAACACTGACCTGTGTACTCCCAAATTTTTGCTTATTCTTGATTTTCTTTTTTTAAAGTTAGAGATAGGAGAAAATGAAGAAGGAAAATTTTTCCTTTCCAGAACTAAAACTTGGTGAAATTAAACAGCGCGGTGACGGTCCTCTTAGAATGGACACAGGAGTGCTTGAATGTACATTTTGTCCGATTGGGGTGGAAGTGATTATGTAATAAGCATATGAGGTATCCAGAAAATACTGGATTAGAGGATTGTATGATCTCGGCCCTAGAGTAATATGACTATATCTAAATAGATGACTTCATCCGAGGGCTCATGTGGATTCTGCTCAGCAGTCGATAACTATAGTAGCCAGGAAGCATATAGTGTTCAAGCTGCATGATGTTCTCTACTTGTCTTCTAGTGTGTGCATATGTTTTGAGTCAACCTTACAGCCTTACAGCCAGTCCTTGGGCTCTGTAAAACTGCATGCTGATTGAAATGGACAGAGCCAGGAGTCTGTTTCTTCTAGATCTTCATTGCATTGAAATGAAGTAGTTATATAGTTGGAGCAGTAAGTATTTACAGTCTTGGAAGTGGAGAACAAAGGAGCGTTATCCAGCGCCTCCTAATTGTGTATTATGTATAGGCAGTTAGTTAACTGACTGTCCTGATGGATGCATTGTAGACATATAGGTCTGGATTCTGAAAGTTCCGAGGCCACTATTTAGGAAAAGAAATAAATCTTCCTATCATTTAGACTCCTGGAGTTTGTGAGTGGTGGCATAGTTATCTAATTGTTCTAACTGATACTCATCTATGAATATAATTTGCTCTGTAGAACAAGAGAGCAAGCTTAACATGGTTTCAAAGTGATGATATTAACATTAAATACAGAATAGTATCTTGCATTAGCTTTAAGAATTGAGTTGATCATGCTTGTTGAGTGCCTACTATACTTACCATTCTAGATAGCAGAGGTGTGTGTGTGTGTGTGTGTGTGTGTGTGTG